ATAATCTATGACAAAAAAAGCCATTACAAACTATATTAGTGGTAAAATACACATTGCTCTTTGTATTGTTGTAAAATACATTCATGAAAAACAAGATAACAAAAATCAAAAAGATAAATTATTTTAGAGATAATTATTTTAAATGTATAGCAGAGATGTTAAATGAGGCAGCAACATACAAACTTTCTAGAACAACATGGACCTGAATAGCTGGTTTTTATGGAGGACAGTGAAGAGGAAGAGGGTGCAAATCAAACAGCTCATTCTCAGACTACACAGCAAACAGCTTAAGTTTTTAGTGCTTTGTTTGAGGTTTTTAGTGCTCTGTCCTATCTTTTATCAACACATAATAGATAGAACAGAACAAGAAAGGCAATTAATAATCTGTCATTGCATTATGATATGAAAGGCTCAGTACAGTGTGGCACAAAACGCTTATGCGCATCCCGAGTGGAGAATGATGCGCTTAAAGCCACATGGAGTTACAGCGCATCGAGTCCGCATTGATGCAAGCTCTACAATACACTTCTTTTTCGACAGTCAAAGTGGGGGTTACGTTTTTGCACGTCATACAGAATAACCCTAAAGGCACCAAGGTGGCGGTGCCACCGGCTTTATATTAAATATAAATATAGCTGTGAGCAGCGATAAAGGGCCAAAGCCGGCGGTACCACCATCCCGGTGCCTTTGGGTAACTAAAGGCATCGGGGTTGCGGTGCCACCGGCTTGGGCCCGCAATCGCTGCTCGCAGCTATATTTAATTATTATTTATTATTATTTAACGACTATTCGGGCACTTTTGGGGCCCTTAACATGCTCAAAAACTCTTGAAACTTTGCACACGGGTCAGAATCCGCGGCCATCAGGGCCGGGCTGAAGATGGTACCCGGGCGTGGCAGGGGGGCTAGACAGCGCCCCCTGGAACGGGGTCCGAAAACTTGTACCATAAATCAAACACGCTTGCATGTAATAATATGAAACTCGGTGCACATATAGATCTCATCGTTCATATATACCTCAAACTATTACTTTTTACCCCAGCCCAACAGGAAGTCGGTTATTTAGGGTTGTTCATAAAACACTCGCAATGGAATGTGCAATACTCCTCCTAGAGAATTCAAACACACGGCACGAAACTCGGTCAGCGTGAAGTCAAGACATTGAGGATGAAAGTTTGTGTGGGGATTTTTGATATCTCAAACGGTTTGGCCGTGGCGAGGAAACGAAATAATGGCGAGAATAGTGAAACAGGAAGTGTGTCAGAACTTCAGCATACATTAACTGATCTTGATGAAACTTCAGCAGTTTGTTCGCTGTAAGAGGACGATCACATGGGTGTGACTATTGTGAGTCAAAGTTATAGCGCCACCAACTGGCAGCAGGAACTGTGTCACTTTCAAAATGCTTTGAAATCACCCTCTTATTTTTACCCGATTTGCTTCAAACTTAATCTGTATAATGTAAACACATAGCAGATGAAGACCTGTGAATGGATTCTTGATATCTTTGATACTGTTGCTGTGGCAACGCATCAAACTTTAAAATTCTTTTTTTTTGATGATTTTGAGACTCTTAGCGGCTTTTGGGCCCTTAACGGGTTTGAAAACTCTTTGAAACTTTGCACACAGGTCAATCCCACAGCCCTCAGAGCCGGGCTGAAGATGGTACCTGGGTGTGGCAGGGGGGCTAGACAGCGCCCCCTGGAACGGGGTCCGAAAACTTGGTCCATAAATCAAACACGCTTGCATGTAATAATATGAAACTCGGTACACATGTTGATCTCATCGTTTCATCTCTACCTCACACTCTTATTTTTACCCCAGCCCAACAGGAAGTCGGCTATTGAGGTTTGTTTGTAAAATGCTCGCAATGGAATGTGCAATACTCCTCCTAGAGAATTCAAACACACGGCACGAAACTCGGTCAGCATGAAGTCAAGGCATTGAGGATGAAAGTTTGCGATGGGATTTTTGATATCTCGAACGGTTTGGCCATGGCGAGGAAACGAAATTATGGCGAGAAATGTGAAACAGGAAGTGTATTATAACTTCAGCATACATTAACTGATCTTGATGAAACTTCAGCAGTATGTTCGCTGTAAGAGGACGATCACATGGATGTGACTATTGTGAGTCAAAGTTATAGCGCCACCAACTGGTAGCAGGAAATGTGTAACTTTCAAAATGCTTTGAACTCACCCTTTTATTTTTACCCGATTTGCTTCAAACTTCATCTGTATAATGTAAACATACGGCAGATGTAGACCTGTGAATGGATTCTTGATATCTTTTAAACTGTTGCCGTGGCAACGCATCAAACTTTACCCTTCTTTTAGGATGCTTTTAGGATGCTTTTGAGACCCTTAGCATGCTTCAAAATGCATGAAACTCAACAGACACATTTATTAGCCAGTAGACATGTGCAAAGTTTCAGAAACGGGCATGGTGCAGGGACTAAATAGCGCCACCTTTTGACAAAAGTGGGGTTGTTAGTTTTATCTACAGTTACAAAAATCGGTATATAGATTTTACTCCTCAAGCCGGACAACTTTCTAATTCATAGTCATTAGCTCGGACCAAGGGGAAGTCAGATATTTTGGATTGAATATGGTGAGCCTCTCTCTGAACCTACATCCCTGTATGGCAAGCCCTTTCAACATTTAAAAGCTAAGTTTGCCTATCCGGAACTAACATTGTAGATATCAACGTCTTTCTGACTAGTCGTAATTTCATTTTGGATAGTTTGTATTATCATTTAATAGATATCTGTAATGTAATTGTGAGTAGTCGAAATGACAGATAGAGTATGGCAAGCTGTTTTAACATTTAATCATTTAATCATGAAAGGGCCAAAGCCTGCGACACCGCCACCCCGGTGCCTTTAGGTAACTAAAGGAACCGGGGTTGCGGTGCCACCGGCTTGGGCCCGCCATCGCTGCTCGCAGCTATATTTCTTTATTAGTTTTCATGATCACTGTATTATCCTTTTGGAGTTTCAAAAAGCATGAGTTAAAAGCATGAGGAACATATGTCAGGGGAAAGCTATATATTGCTCAGAGAGGTATGTGTGCCATGTAACATGTTCACTCAGCATAAATGTTTCCACTGATGCAAGTGTACCACAGATGTACACAACAAGGAAAGTAGCGCACGTATGACATTTACGTTCTAAGTTGAGAAGCTCAGAGCAACATGTTTGTTACCTTACAAGGAAGCTGTAAGACTGTGTGATGTATAAAACTCAATGTCACATTGTACCACCTCAGAGAAATATGTAGGCATGACCGGGTGAGAGGGTAGAGGAACATGGAGAAACGCATAGACCAGGCATGAACACAACATCTTGAAGTTTCTCTCCTGACATATATAATATATAATAAAACTTTCTTGGCAAGATAACTGGTGTCCGGTCCCGTAAATTGAATAATAACGGGGAAACACAAGAGGCTTTAATTCCAAGTCTACATTTGGCGTCACGAGGAACAGGATAGCATTCAGGCATTTGTCTCAATCATTCAAGGTAAGACTTTTTCCTATTCTAAAAAATAATTTGAAGTCTGCCTGATGATTGGACATTGACTGAAACTGCTTAAAAGAACTGTGTTGTTTAAAGTACCAGTTGTTTTGCCAATGAATATATGTCAGAAAAAGGAAAATAATTTAAATAGTTTGAATTTGATGTGGCTTATTTGAGTTGCTCTGTTCAGTAAACCTCTGAAATATTGAATGATGCTGGGGAAGTCTTTTTCATTTTTGAAAAGACTTTAGGAAAAGTGGATCTTTTTTAGAAAAAAGACCATTTAGTCAAATATTTGGAATAGCAGTAAAGCAATTTAGCAATTTGCTTGGCATGACTGGAAGGTGGTTGGAATATGGCGAGACTGTAAAAACTGATGGCAGATTAATCTCTAAAATATTTCCAACACACCGAAGAATCGTTTTAGAAACGAGGATAGTGTGTCAAAGCGGTGATTTATAGCGGTTTAAAGTGGCGGGTCTGTGCTATAGGACGCACAGGATTCCGTATTTAGAAATACAGGCGCCCTAAAATTTTAAACACGCTGATTGAGCCCTTAGAAGATGGGTATCAATGGAAATAGGAGCTAGAATTGTGTGTTTTTTCGATTTTGACAATAAGCTGTTCAGTATTGAGAGGAAGAGGTTGATCTGAGAGCAACTTCAAATAAACTAAATAAAATTTAAAAATAAAAAATAGAGCAAACAAATACACAAAGAAAACAAATTATTAGAGTTAACTTTGTTTTGTTTTGTTGTTTTTTTTCCTTTCCCCTTCTTTGTTCTTTGAGTTATAAGAGAAGGCGAAAGGGAGAGAAGGAGAGAAGCAGAGAGAGAGGGAGAAGCAGAGGGACCCCCCCCTTGGAATTCACGCACAGTAGATATACATCCACACACACACACACACACTCACTCCCAAAATATCCCTGCTGTTTGAGTGCACAGTCACAGAGTGACAAATAATTTGCAATGGCAGAAAGTGGTCTTAACAGCCGAACAATTGCTGATTGGTATTTAAAAAGAAAACAGAAAAAGCAAGCTAAGCTTTTGAAAAAAAGGACTGGATGTTAATGCATCTTTGGATGTGCAGCTAAGCTGGTTTGATTCGCAAAAAGACTCCATCAAGTCAAAAGCATTTCCAATACTGGCAGCTCATTGGATTGTGAAACAAGGTGGAATCTTCTGTGGCATTGATGGATGTCCAGCCCCACTTTTTGAAGCAATGAAGCCTCAATTGAAGCATTTCACAAATTGAACAAAATTATGTCTATTAACTGTTCAGATAAAGAAAACACAACCAATGATAATTCATTTGATCCAGATTGGACAAATATAATAACTGAAGCTGAAAAGAGATATTCACAAGCACCAGTGAAATCTGCAACCACTGTAACGCCTCCTCCTTACAACCCAATGTATCCAGTTTTGCCTGAACAATGTACAAGTTCCTCTAAACCACTGACACAGCCTCAAGCTTTGAGATCAAATGGTCCAGTTGACAAAATGTATATTGCATCTGCACAAGCAGCTCCAATAATAACAAGATCTAAAACAGTTCATCCCAACAGAGACATGCTGCGCTGTACACCAGCTTGTAATTATGGATCCGACTGGGGTGATGAGACAAGAGATGACGACATGATCACAATTGACAAGATCGGTCCTGAACTTTCTTCACCAGTAATTAAAAAGGAAGGATCTGAATTAATGACAGAAGAGAGACCATTCACTCCAGGTGAACGACAAGCCATTCTCACAGCCTTGCCTCCTCTGAAGAGACAAGATCCAAACACAGAGTTTTGGCGAGAATTAGACTCTCTTGTCGAAGCACATCAAATGACACTACGAGACATTCACACCATTGTGAAAGCTAAAATCCCAAGAGACAGATGGGAACGCTTGCCAGCTTCAATAACAACTGCCCAATGGATAGATTTGTGGGTTGATGACCAGGGACGACCCCTGGGTCTTTGGCAAGCCTTAGATGTATTCCGAAAAGAAATCCAGGAAATCTTAGGCAGTGGTAAAATTCCCTTCACATTAGTGACATTGATTAAGCAAAAGGATGATGAATCTCCAGATGAGTATGCTCTACGTAAGTGGAATGCTTATGAGAGATGGGCTCTCTGTGCTAAGAAACAACCTGACAGAGATGATGTACAGTTCATTGACACACTTGTGGATGGACTTGGCCCAAAATACCAACAAGCCTTATCACTTGGAGTCAACCCAGGTGAGACATTTGACCAAATCATGCAATGGGCTGGCCGTTTGGAGATGGCTATGAGGTCAAACAAAGAAGAAGGAAACAAGCCATACCGAAGAGGAGTGGCGACAGCTCAATACAACAAAGACACAAAGAATAAGATGGTTTTCTGCAGCAATTGTGGAAAACGTGGACACGTTAGACGAGATTGCTGGGCTAAAGGAGGTGGAGCAGAAGGTCAAGGTCCATCATTTAAACAGGTCAGTACCAAAGACCATAATGAAAATTCTCAAGAGAAGACGTTGACTGAAGCACAAGTCCGTCAGCTCATTGAGGGAATTATGCGTCCGCAATAGGAATTAGCGGCCCCCTGTATTAGTAAGAAAAAAGACAATCGCCTTTTCGTTAATGCATTAATAGGGGGCCACCCATGTGATGTTTTGGTTGACACAGGCGCCTCAATTTCAATAACAGATTTGAACCTACCTACAACAGATGAAACTATGGAAGTTGAAGGTGTTGGAGGTGGTATCACAAAATTTCGCAAAAGTATTCAAGTTCCACTGCAAATACATGAAGATGAAGTCTTATGGACATCTTTTTGGGTGGGGCCGAATTCACAAGGAAGCCTAATTGGCATGGACATTCTTCCATTGTTAAACATGATCATATTCACTGACAGTCGTCATATCGCCACAACTGCTGGGATAATACCACACGAAGATCGCACATGTAATCTAAGGTCTGTTGGTACAGCAAAACCAATTATCAGGAACTGGACAAAAGATGGTGTGTGGGGTCTTCTATGCAGTTTGTATCCAGATGTTTGGGCTAAACACAAACTGGATTGTGGTAAAGCCAACATTGACCCCATTGTTATTGAGGGACCGACACATGCCCCTCATAAACAATACCCTATCAGACCTGAAGCAAGACAAGCCGTGGAGGAGATAGTGGCTGACTTGGAAGCTGAAGGTATCATCAGACAAACGTCATCTACCACTAATAGTCCTGTCTGGCCTGTCAAGAAATCAGATAACTCATGGCGATTAACCATTGATTACACAAGACTTAACAGTGTAACACCAAAACCGCATCCTATTGTAGCCAATCCTGCCACTATTCTGAATGATATTCCAGGAAATGCTAAAATTTTTACGGTACTGGATGTACTGTCTGCTTTCTGGTCTATACCTATAGACAAAAGATCTCAAGAGAAATTAGCCTTTACAGTAGGCGCAAAACAATATGTTTGGAACAGACTCCCACAAGGTCTTAATATTTCTCCTGTTGTATTTCATAGAGCTTTGAACCAGTTCTTAACGGAGCAAAAAGCTGAAATTGAGAAATCAGGAAGTGTCTGCCTCCAATATGTTGATGACTTGTTGATTGCAAGCCCAGATGAAAGAAGCCATATATTTGCTCTGAATGTTGTCCTACAAGCCCTTAGGAAAGGGGGATTTAAAGTTAACCCCGACAAAGCACAGCTGGCCAAATCCAAAGTTATCTATTTGGGCCAAGAAATATCTATGGAGGGAAGGAGAATGACAACAGAGCGTGTAGAAGCATTACGACATCTTCCAAAACCTCTAACAGTTACAGGAATGCGGAAGGTGATGGGACTTTTCAACTATTGTCGTCAGTATATACCCGATTTTGCTAGCATCACCAGCCCTCTCATTGACCTGTACAAGGGAGGAAAGCCGGGAGTGGAACAGATTAACTGGACACCAGAAGCTGAAGAAGCGTTTACTTCTATGAAAGAAAAACTGACTTCAGCTCCAGCTTTGGGACTTCCCGATGGACGATTGCCGTTTCATTTGTGGACCAGTGTAGGAGATGAGACGTATTCAGCAGTACTGTGTCAAAAACCAGGTGATCGATACAGACCAGTTGGATACTTTTCCACAAAGATTCCTGTCACTATGATTGGGCAACCACGATGTATACAAGCTCTCGATGGTGCCACATGGGCAGTGGATGCTGTTGAGAATCTGATAGGAGCACAAACTATCATATTGCACACTCCACACAGTATAGTGACATTGTTGAACAACACAAACATCAAAACCATAACCGATGCAAGAAGAGCAAAATGGGAAGCTACTTTGTTGAACAAGGATTTGAGAGTGGAAATCATCAGAGACACGTCTCTTAACCCTGCAACAATGATGCTGGAACCACATGAGGGAATACCACATGAGTGTGTAAAACAAGTAGAAGAAGATAGCCTTGGTCCTGTTAATCCAATCCCTCTTGAAAATCCAGACAAGGAGTTATGGGTCGATGGATCCAGTTACTATGTTGATGGAAAAAGACACACTGGATGGGCTGTAGTGCAAGCTGATGGAACTGTTGTGAAGAAAGGAGCTCTTCCTGGCAAACTTTCAGCACAAGTAGCTGAGCTTATAGCACTTACAGAAGCTCTTGAATTATCTGAAGGAGAACGAGTCAACATCTATACAGATAGTCGATATGCTTTTGGTGTGGTCCATGACTACCTTGCCCTGTGGAAGAGACGTGGACTCATCACCAGCAATGGGAGCGAAATACAACATGCTTCCATAATTCGTCGCTTAATTACAGCATGTCACTTACCTAGAGAAGCAGCCGTGATCAAAGTAAAATCACATCAATCTGACAAGTCCAAAGAAACTCAAGGAAACACGGCAGCAGATGCAGCAGCTAGAGAAGCAGCTCTACTCCATCCTACTCCTGTTACCCTGGTAAAGGAAAATACCAAGGATAATCCTGAGCTCCATCTTCTGTCATATCAATTGGAGACAGATGAAGAGAAAGAACAATGGATAAAAGCGGGAGCGAAAGAGGATGATCAAGGAATCAGGAGAATTCCAACAGGACAAGTAGTGATGCCTATCGGAACAAGAAGAGAACTAATGCAGCTGTATCATGGAAAAGTGCATGCTGGAGCAAAAGCAATGAAAGCTCAAATCAGTAAAACTTGGTGGTGGCAAAGAATGATGAGAGACATTGATGATTATTGTAGGAGATGTTTGATATGCCTCAAAGCAAATGTGGGAAAATCTGTAAAGGTGCGAATGTCACATGCACCCAGACCAACAGGTCCGTGGACACATCTCCAAATTGATTTCACAGGACCTTTATCACCTAGTGGAGGGTATCAATATATACTTGTAATCATGGACAATAATAAGAAAGCGCGAGAAGCTCAACAGCAATGGGATGAAAAACACACCACTACTGACATTCCACACATTCCCGAGATAGGCAGTTTTGTTATGATCAAACGAATTGCTAGGAAGGGTTTAGAGCCTAGATTGGAAGGACCTTATGAGATACTCTTAACATACAAGTGTTTGTCTCAAAGGGAAGGGTGTAGGAACAGATAGATGGTATCATTGGTCACAAGTTAAACCTTGCTTAGTGAATAAACAAACTGTTGAGACTGAGCAATGTTCATCGATTAGTTTTAAAGATTGGGAACAAATAAGTGATGCTAACTATTTTTCTGCTTCCATTTCAGGAATCAATTCCATTGACATTTATTAAAGATGGTTGCAAGTTATTATGTATTCCTTACAAAACATTACCTCACAAACAATGAACACCCGCTTACTGATTTTCAACCCCAAGGGATAGGACCCTTTACCATCAACGTTTATTTTAATTTCTTATTTTGGCTCGGAACTGGGGGATTTAATTAGTTAACGAGTTAATTAATTAATGAGTCCAGGCACGAGCAGAAGAATTATTAGTTTTTTCTTTTCTTAGATGATTGGGGTTCATTTTAAATACATACACATAGATATTAAAACACACACAGTATACGGGGACATAACACGGGTTGGGGTTTTTGTTCTTTTGTTCTTTTTGTTCTTTGTTTTGTTTTTCCTTTTCTATTCTTCTGTTCGTTCTGTCTATTTTCTTGGTCTGCTATTTCTTCTCCTCACTATCACTTCTATAGGTTGGCCACCTGGGAATGATGGTGTGGAACTTACGGCCGTAGTTCCAGTGGAGGGAGATGAAGACTAAAATTTCATCTTTTAATATTATTTCATTATTAAATATTATGTATCTGTATTATTATTCTTTATTAGTTTTCATGATCACTGTATTATCCTTTTGGAGTTTCAAAAAGCATGAGTTAAAAGCATGAGGAACATATGTCAGGGGAAAGCTATATATTGCTCAGAGAGGTATGTGTGCCATGTAACATGTTCACTCAGCATAAATGTTTCCACTGATGCAAGTGTACCACAGATGTACACAACAAGGAAAGTAGCGCACGTATGACATTTACGTTCTAAGTTGAGAAGCTCAGAGCAACATGTTTGTTACCTTACAAGGAAGCTGTAAGACTGTGTGATGTATAAAACTCAATGTCACATTGTACCACCTCAGAGAAATATGTAGGCATGACCGGGTGAGAGGGTAGAGGAACATGGAGAAACGCATAGACCAGGCATGAACACAACATCTTGAAGTTTCTCTCCTGACATATATACTATATAATAAAACTTTCTTGGCAAGATAACTGGTGTCCGGTCCCGTAAATTGAATAATAACGGGGAAACACAAGAGGCTTTAATTCCAAGTCTACATTGGGCAAACTTGATTAATTCAGGTGTGCCTGATTATTGTTGCCGTGACTATGAGGTCAGACACACCTGAATTAATCAATTTGTCCAATAATGGCAAACAGGAAACAATGAGCTGGCTGAAGTTCAGGAAGTAGTGCAGCTGTGCATAAAGCCAATTGCCTTCGCCTGAAGTGGATGGTGGGAAGTGGTTGTGTTTTCTCTCAAAGCCACATGAGGGCAGCAGACAGCTTTTTATATTTGGACGACTGTATACATTCCCACAGGAGTCTGGTAGGATTGCCTGATCACCATTAGTTCTCATTCAAATGGATATATTTATATATTTTTTTTTTTTATTAGGTACAATGTTTTTTTACTGTTTCACGCATTAATATAGGCTAATAAGACAAATAGTAAACATCAAGAAAAAGTGGACAATTTTGTAAACAATGCTTTAGTATAATAGTGCCTTAAATTCTGTAATTGCCCATTGCTTAAGGGTATAAACTAAATTGCTGATTAGGGCATTTGTTTGTGTTTTTCTGAACAAACCCTATTGCCATATGTATAAAAAAAAAACATGAACACATATTGCAGGATTACACAAGGCACACTTAAATTTAGTCATCAGTTTTTTTTTTTTTTTAGTTTTAGTTTTTTTTAAATACATTATCCTGTTTATGTAAATGCATCTTTGTAAAAGCCCACAGTTTCCAAACCATTTGCTGCATCCTACAAATAACTAATATGAAATAGCTGAGGTAATAAGTCAAGCACAAAATGCAACTATCGGCAAAAAAGCCACGCTAATCTGAACACATATGTATTAAGGACATTGAATCATAATGACTTTTTCTGTATTTATACTAGGTAGTCATACATCTTCAATTAACAACAACTAGGGCTTACAAAGGAGGACACAAAATGTGATTCCTCAAGTGTAGTTTAATGGAAATATTTGAGCGCAGCGTGTATGCTACCGCTATTTTGTTTCAGAGGGATCGTTGGATCAGATCACTCTCTGGCCACCTTGTGAAAAACACTGATGATGACAACTGAACATGGAACATAAATCACGTCCCTTTGCCCCTCTACATCTGATCGGCCCAACATCTGCACATCACTCACGCATAAATTAGCATGCATTTACATAGCAACGCCTGGCAGATTCAATCTCTTATTCAAAGTAGACCAGCTTTTGTCTATTAGAAGCAGAGACTGTCCACGACATGACATGCCTCAGTTTTCAATACTGGGACACGTATAGGCTCAATAAAATATGATTTATGTGAGCAATAAGGTACGAGAGGGTGTATCGTGAAGTAACGGCTGAAGGGCGTTGTTAGGCACGACGTGAGTACATTATTGCTTTTATAAAACGGTTACCACACAATCAAAAAATGTATTAGTGCAAATTTCATGAAGTAAAATCACTAAAAGCTTTCCTTCCTATATATCAAAGAGTTCAGAGAGGTGTCATTTAAACTCAATAATAAAATTATGCAATTGTATATAAAGTTTTAATTAAGTTCTACACTATGAAAACATATAGTTCACACCATAATATGAAGAGTTCAGATGCAAAACCCTCGAAATGCCATTTGAAATTTTCTTCTAAAATGACCATTTTTATCAAGCTTGTATATTTAAGTTCAGCAATTTCACTTAAATGACAAATAATAGGTAATCTTCATTGCCATTTAAGTGAAATTACTGAACTTAAATATACAAGCTTGATAAAAATAATCATTTTAGAAGAAAATTTCAAATGGCACTTAGAGGCTTTTGCATCTGAACTCTTCAATTAAATATTTGTTTTTAAGTGTATGCTACAGTCAACTTCATTTTAACTTTATTTTCTCAAAACAAGAGGATTTGAATATCTTGTTGGGACAAGTTAGACATTTTTATTTTGTATTTTAATTTTGAATGCTATAATTGTCACATGTCTGTCCTGTCTTGTATTGCACATGGGAGTCTTTGTTATGTTGTGCCATGTGCTGTAGTCATTGTTTGATCCCTCCCCCTTGTTACCTGATTAGTGTTTGAGTTCTTCCACCTGTTCCCTCTTTATTTGTTCCCTATTTAAGTCTCCTCTTGTTTGCTGTCTTTGTCAGATGGTTGTCTTATGTTATCCCAGTTTGCCTGTGATGGCTGGCATGTTCTTAGTCAGTATTTGTTCTTAGTTCAGTGTTGTTTTATGTTTCATTTATTATGGTTTCCCCATTGCGGGTTTTTGCTTTGTGTTTTCCAATCCAATACAATCCACTTTTTGTAAATTGTATCGTGACAATAATTGTTTTACTGTTTAAATTTAGGCTATGTTTACACGTAAACGATTCAGAAGAGAAAACGCAAAAGGCATTGCCTCATCACTTTTTATTCTGCGTTTAGACGAGCGTTTTGTGTGGGAAATCTGCGTGCAAAGGGTGACGCAAAAGTGTGTGAAATTCAATGTAGGATGCACTTCAGGCGGCTAGGAGTGCATACTACAACAACACCAAGTCCACGCGCCTGCATGCGTACAACCTTCACACTGTCAAGTAGACTTTTGCGTTTTTACCGTTTACACGGGAATGCGGCGGTGGGGCATTTTTAAGATTTCCACTCTGGAGGGTGGTTTCACTTTTTTGCGTTTTTAAGCCTCAAAAAACGCTGTCACCGTGTAAACAAAAGGCATCCGATAAAATATTTTTACGTTTCTCGTGTAAGCAGGGCCTTAGCTGAAAAGCCTAATGGCAGGCTCAAAATGGGATAAATTGTTCCATATATAACCAAATAATTATGGAAATGTTCAATTGCTTTTTGAAGTAAAGACTTTATATGTTTATGAAATGCCTACTGCATAATAAGTATAACTCTGGTCTCCCCTGAATTATATACATAAGCTGTTAGTCTTTAATCTCCGTCATTTCTCAGCCCAGCATGATAAACTGAAAATACAAAATAGCTCCTGCTAAGGACAATGGCATTTAATTTATACATTTGCATAATATTAGCAGCACCAAACATGCAACACAGCTGGTGGCAGGACTCAATCTTATTACAGCTGAAAGTAATTAGGGTGAAAATCAGTCCAACTGGAAACATTTGTGACTCAAACAGATATTGAGTACGTAAAACTCAAAACAAATGTATTAACAAGAGATAATTATGTTTATATATATATATATATATATATAAAACAGGTACTTACTGTTATCTTATCAGCCAATCACAAGACAGCAACAGAGTAAAAACGATCTGCTGAAGTTTAAACAGTTTGCCTTCGATCAACAGTCCAGACTGCTGGTGGTGTAATGATGTGGGGATATTTTCTTGGCACACTTTAAACCCCTCAGTACCAATAGCTTGTTTTCATATGACATCACACCACTGCGTAGCCATGGTGCGAAATACAAATAGAGGGCAGGAAGTGATTTGCTGTATTTAGAAAGCACTATAACAAACTCAAAATGCCTGTGTTTTAAGTCATTTATGGCTACTTGAATCAATCAAACCACAAGGAGTTTTTATTGTGTACTAAAAATTGTTGTTCATAAGGGGGGAAAATACAAGAAATTGATCAAAAAACTCTGGAAAAAATGGTTTGCAAACCTACGTCTGTGGTCGGGAGGAGCCAAATGTAATAATGTTTGTGTGTGTGTAACGTTAGTGATCACTTCGCCAAAGGTGAGTTAATACAACTTAAGTGATTGTTTGGGTAACGTTTCCAATCTTTGTAAAGTCAAAGTATGCCTGTAAGACTAGTGGCGCTTTTCCACTGCATAGTACGGTACGGTTCGGCTCAGTACGCTTCGACTCGGCGCGGAACAGTTCGGATTGCTTTTCGTTTCCACCGCAGT